TCTTTTAATACCTGTAATTAAAAAAATAGAAAATTGATTTGTAAAATTTTAATGAACACTTTCACTTCCATAGTAACTATTAACTGTTTATATTATTATATTTTACAGCCATCGTAAATACAAAAAACTGATACTGTATGTCTCTGTTAGTAGTAGTGCAGCTACCCTTGCGTAATTGACGTGTCCATGATTGAATATCTTGTATATTATTTGGTTTATGTATACTCCAATTAAAGATGCAATTAATCCAATAATAATAGTACATCATAAATATTGTACTCAAAGTTACACAAAAAAAATTATGAGTGGCTAAAATAACTGATCTGTCAATCATTTTCCAAATTATTGATTACTCTGGAACATAATTTTCCAAGATTATTTGTAACTCCAATTATTATAAATTTTTGTAGAAAAAGGGAAGTTTTTAGCATTGGACCTAGGTGGCAGTAATTTCCGTGTGTTGTGTGTCACTGTTGATGGTAAACACATTGAATCTGACAGCCATATATACAAACTTGGAGATGATTTAATGCAGGGTTCTGGGCAACAAGTAAGTACCATTTGGTTACTGTTTTACGAATAGATTCAGACATGGCGGCGTCATGTGTATTGCTATTGCAGTCTCCTTTAACGCTGGTAAGAAACCATGGTTCTGTTTTGAAGGCACTAGTCATTTATGACAAACCCAATTTGAGTTTCAAACAAAATACAAATAGTTATTATAATAATAAATTAAATGTATTTTTGTTTTTGTTATTTTTTCAGCTCTTTGATTATATTGCTGACTGTTTAGTTAAGTTTATGAAAGAGCATGACTTATGTGGAGAGAGACTACCTTTAGGTTTTACTTTCTCTTTTCCATGTCAGCATCTTAAGTCTCACATGTGGTAAGAATTATTTCTTCTAAAATTTAAAATTTGCATGAAACCATGAAGTGTATGTGCATTAACTAATCAATGTTGGTTAGTCTATGGCCTAGTATGTGAATGGTAGACATCCCAGTAGTCTAGATCTGGATGGTAGCCAACCCACCAATCTAAAGCTAGATGGTAGCCAACCCACCAATCTAAATCTACATAGTAGCCAACCCAACAATCTAAATCTACATAGTAACCAACCCGCTAATCTAAATCTACATGGTACCCATCCCACCAATCTACATCTACATGGTAGCCAACCCACCAATCTAAATTTACATGGTACCCAACCCACCAATCTAAATCTACATGGTAGCCAACCCACCAATCTAAATTTACATGGTACCCATCCCACCAATCAACATCTACATGGCAGCCAACCCACCAATCTAACTTTAGATGGTAGCCAACCCACCAATCTACATACACATGGTAGTCAACCCACCAATCTAAATCTACATGGTACCCATCCCACCAATCTAAATCTACATAGTAGCCAACCCACCAATCTAAATCTACATGGTACCCATCCCACCAATCTAAATCTACATAGTACCCAACCCACCAATCTAAATCTAGATGGTACCCAACCCAACAATCTAAATCTACGTGGTAGCCAACCAACCAATCTAAATCTAGATGGTAGCCAACCCACCAATCTAAATCTAGATGGTATCCAACCCACCAATCTAAATCTTACATAGGTACCCAACCCAACCAATCTAAATCTACATGGTACCCAACCCACCAATCTAAATCTACATGGTACCCATCCCATCAATCTACATCTACATGGTACCCAACCCAACAATCTAAATTTAGATGCTAGCCAACCCACCAATCTAAATCTAGATGGTAGCCAACCTACCAATCTTAATTTACATGGTACCCAACCAACCAATCTAAATCTACATGGTACCCAACCCACCAATCTAAATTTAGATGGTAGCCAACCCACCAATCTGAATCTACATGGTACCCAACCCACCAATCTACATCTACATGGTACCCAACCCACCAATCTAAATCTAGATGGTACCCAACCCACCAATCTAAATCTAGATGGTAGCCAACCCACCAATCTAAATTTACATGGTACCCAACCCACCAATCTAAATATACATGGTAGCCAACCCACCAATCTAAATCTAGATGGTACCCAACCCACCAATCTAAATCTACATGGTACCCATCCCATCAATCTAAATCTACATGGTACCCAACCCACCAATCTAAATCTACATGGTAGCCAACCCACCAATCTAAATTTACATGGTACCCAACCCACCAATCTAAATCTACATGGTAGCCAATCCACCAATCTAAATCTAGATGGCAGCCAACCCACCAATCTAAATCTACATGGTACCCAATCCACCAATCTAAATCTACATGGTACCCAACCCACCAATCTAAATCTACATGGTACCCAACCCACCAATCTAAATCTACATGGTAGCCAACCCACCAATCTAAATTTACATGGTACCCAACCCACCAATCTAAATCTACATGGTAGCCAACCCACCAATCTAAATCTACATGGTAGCCAACCCACCAATCTAAATCTACATGGTAGCCAACCCACCAATCTAAATTTACATGGTAGCCAACCCATCAATCTCTTGA